ACATAAAATCATACAAATACAAGCATGAAATCATAGTTTAAACTAAACCCTAAACGAAACTAGGGTTTCGTATATTTACCTCTTGACGCGTGAGGTAGGAGCGATTAGCACTTCGTGATTACTACGGAAACCAATCCGTAGAATCGGGGCAGCGGCGGTGCAACGGCAGCAGCGGCGCGTGAGGTCACGGCGGCGCGTGTAGTGTACGCGCGGCTTCGGGACGGCGCGTGGGGCAGCGTGCGGCTTCGGCTCGTGCGTTGCTCCTCGACTTTTCGATCTACAGTCTTCCTCCTCTCGGATTTCACCTCGTATACTTCGATCTACTAAATCGTGGCACTAGACACGAAGTAGTTAGAATAAAACGGAAGAAAAGAAAGGAGAAAGAATACCGAATCAAGGAACGGCCGACGAACGGCCGGTTCCGGCGACGGAGCGGCGACGGTGGTGCGGTGGTGGCCGCGCGGGAGAGAGGGCGAGAGAGAGAGGGTCGGCCGCTTTAGGGTTAGGGTTTCATGTTTTTTTGTAAGGGCTATAAGTCATGTATTTATAGTCCCTTGCATATAACCCTAGCGGGCTTAAGTTGGACTGGGCCCAACAGCTTAAGCTCGTTAGTTCCTCTACTTGCTCGTATCTCTCAATTCAATGACCGAAAAATTGCAACGATTACATTTTCGGAATCATTATAACTTCCTCGTCATTACGAGTGCCATCTCTTGTTTTCCAACTTTCCAAAAGTGGAAACCCTAGTTCAGTGGACTTTCTAAATTTGGAAACTTCTCGATTTAGAAAGTTCACTAACATGTTCGCCTATTCTTTTCCTTTTCTTATTCTCATTCGTAATTCCAAATTACGAATGTTGGATTCAATCATATTGACTTCCAATCATGCAAAGATAAACTATTTTATCTCTGACCGTTTATTCAAAGATCTCATGTGCACGAGCAGTGTGACCCTCGATGGTTCAGGTGTAAGCTAGCCGTGGGCCCACAACCCATTGTGGTCAAAACTCGTCCCCTTCGAGTTACGATTAAGATGAAGCTCGTTTCACCTTAATCACCCAACGAATCAAGATTGGCGTCTAGCAACTACGCGTCATGATTCCCTAGATACAAATGAAGTGCCTGCAAGAACCTTCAGATATAGTTAACGTACAGTACGGTCCCTTCGATACATATGTCCCGATCGAACTAGAGGCATTGGTTCATCGAGACCTCTTTATATGTTCGATGACGGTGCGATCGTTCCAAGTGTTGTAATCGTCACGTGCATGACTTAGAGAATCGAATTCTCTAATCATCACTTAGTCAGCTCTGGCCAGAGACTTAGAATGATTACAAACTTTCAGAACACACAGGCCATCCAAGACTATTCTAGCGATCGAATCCCCGACTACAATGCACAGACCTCCCACTAGATTTCGGACTGCACGAACACTGGCCCTTGGGATGGTCCTCGGTGGAACTCAGGGACAGGTCACGATACAGCTGGTCCTCTAGTGAAGTCACGGTGATGTCTAGGTCATAAGGACTAATGGTGTACAACTATACCATAGATATCTCTACTCGATTATTGGGAACCACTTAGAGATTTCTAGGGTGAGGGAGTTCAGTGAACTCGTCAACTTACGAGCACCCACTTATGCATGCCGATATCACAATACCGTTTACTGATGAGATGCAGTACACATACACTAGGTGCTAGTCTTAATGGGAAAGGCCGATATCCTCATTAGTGGCGTAACCCTTCGACTAGGAACACGTTTAACAGTTATAATACTTGAGTAAATATCTCACAATCCTAACGATCAATTACTAGTACTTGTAATAACTGTAAGGACTATATCTATGCTTGTGACAAAGGGACAAAGATATAGAATGCCAAGATGTTTTATCATTAATACGAATGAAGGTTCGTTTATTACAATAATAAATACGAAAGACCACAGCCACAAGTTGGCTTGTTGGTCACCTACTCTAACAAATCTTTGAGAGATTCAGCTTCAAAGACTATAGATGGCGGATGAACCTATCTGTATCAATTCAAATAAACTTTGTTACACTCATATTTTGAAGTAATGTGATCCATTTTTCAAGAAACAAAACCGATTCTTAATCATTATTGTAGCACAACCTTTGATCACAATACTGTATGTGTTACACTTACTATGTTTAATTTTAGGGTAAATTACACCCACAACCCTGAGGTATGTTAAAATAACTTCAAGATCCCTGTTGTATCAGTAGTTACAATTACCCCCTAAAACATTGTTAGAAACTCTAACAGGTTATTGCATTGGATACTTTGTTCCGATAAAGTTTTAACGGACTATTATTTTCAGCAAGTGGTGGAGACAACATATAGTTAGGGGTGATTTAAGAAATATTGGGGGAACTCTCTCACCCCATAGTTCTATGTTGTCCATCACTTACTGAAACTAATAGTTCGTTAGAACTTTATCGGAATAACATATGCAATCATTACGTGTTAGAGTTTCTAACAATGTTTCAGGGGTAATTGTAATTACCGATACTACAAGGACCTTAAAATTATTTTGCATACTTCAGGGGTGTATATATAATTTACCCTTAATTTATTGAGCCGTATGTGGTTACAATAGCCGCTTCCTCAAAGGTCCATTTGTAATTTTATTGCGAAAAGTTAACGTTGGACCCAAATTGATATTGTAGTGACTTGTGGGAAGTAGTAAAGTTAGACAGAAAGATAACTTTGACTGTTAGTGGGAACTATGACATGTTTTGAGAAATTATTAGCATGTTCTCAAACTATATAATATGATAAATCAAAAAATAAATACTTAGAGATGTAAGTTTATAGCAATTCACGTGTATAATAATGATGATCAGAAAATAAAAAAAGAATCTTGTACTTCTTTTATTTTGAAAACTTATCGGATAGTATTAATTATTAACTCCATCTCGTATAATATGTTCTAAATTATAAAACATCAATATGTTATATTATTTTACTTAGTTTTAGAATTAAAGAAGTACAAAAATTAATTATTTCAACCTTGCAAGTAAATAAATGCAATTATTTCAAATTTATAAGATTTGAAAATCATATCAAGTATATGAATTCAACAATTCACTTTAAAAACGGATTAAATAGTTGTCGCAGTTAAGTCTTGTATATACCCACGTAATAATTATTTCAATGATTCCTATATTAGCACTTGAGCAGCGAGTAAATGATAGCGTCCGAATCGAGATTAATTCCAATTTATTTTGCTTGATAGAATTTCAATAACTTTCTGCAAAAAAATTGCCATTTTTTATATTTATTTATATTAATTTATATAAATAAAATATAATACTTATAAAAATCAAATATTTTATCTTCTTAAGTAAATGAACGCAATCACATTCACTAGTAATTTTTATGGTACTCTACAACAATTTACTTACTATTTAAACAAACAATTCCACATAATTTTCTACTCACCAAAGAAAAGTTAAATAGGTCATCATTCTATTGGAAAAAACAATTAATATTTTTTGCCTATTTTGCCCTTACCTTTTAACCACCCTAATACTATCCTTGTTGACTCATTTCAAAGGTCTCGGATCCTGTCTATATATTGAATGCCCGTGACACATCAGAACTCATCACACACACGAGTAAGAGGCGTAAGATATATTGAGTTTGTGTGAATAAAAGACAAAGGGTGAAAAAAATTATAAGAGTTTGAATCAAAAGTAAAACTCGAAGATGGAGAAAGGAGGAAGCTCAAACATAAAATATAAATATACAAGAAGAGCACGCACATCTGGTACAACTGCACTCAATTTTTCCTACAATTCGATTTTAAGACTAAATCCATATGAACAATGTGCATAGATTTGTTTTTTTTTTCAATTTAGTTTTCACATCTCTCATTTGCAGATGTAAAAATCAATTGTTAATTCGCTAGATTTAGTTTTAGGATAGTCGATCTTCTATTAGCTAATTTTGTGCGATTCAAGTTCACAAATATTTTTGATGCTTCATGGATATCTTTGTGTTAATTAGATAAAAAACGATCTTTTGCCGCTTACGTATATCATTCTATTCTGATTTCTTTTATGCTTGATGAGGAACGCCTTATTTAATTTTAATTTCTATGGTACTTTTTAGAAGAAAAAAAATGATCAAACATAGAAAAACACATTAATATTAATTATTTTGATTTTGTTCATGTACTAATTGGATCCCAATTTGCCATGTTTTCACTTAAATCCAACACGGTGTAATTAGTTCCTTAATTCAATAAAAAAAATCACAATTAAGGATTGGTCTTTATTTTATTACAAAACAAAATGTGACCATATGGATCAAATTATAATGGGTTCTTAATGTGGATGAAATTGGATTCGCTGAAAAAGGGAAATTTAAGTCAATATAATCTTGATCTTTTTAAGGATGCATCACTGTTTCAATTAAAGTATTATGTTGCATATATCATTTATCGATACACGTCATATGTATATACCTATTAAATAAACTTCAACATAAAACATATGAGTAAAAAATGTTACATAGTATGAAGAGTGTGAAATTAGTGCAATAAAAGTGAACTTCTCGTGCATTTTACACAATTTGTTAGCTATTGGACAAAAAGGAATAAAGTCACACCAATATACTTGGTTTTTTGTACGTGAGAAATTGGTCATAAAACAAGACCAAGAAATAGCAGAAAATTGGCTAGTCAATTTAATTTATACATGTACTTGAACAAGTTTGAGTTTTTAGTTTGTTCTACTTATATATTTTTGAAAAATATTGTTTTTTCTTTATTGTATTGCATATATGAATCCTACATCGCATGCATGTTTATATGTTGTTTAAAAAATCACATATGAACTGTGTATATGCCTTTGAACTATATATAGCGTGTAGCCAATTATATATTTGTGTGTATTGAGATTACTATCATAGTGTAAAAAGAAGATAAAGTGATAAGATTTACATTAAAATATGTTAATAACCAATTATCATTTCAGGTATAGTCCTCCGGGAAGGGGGTGCCGCCCGTGCAGCTGCTACCGCCACCAATGCCGGCAACATTGCGGGCGCCCCACTGAATGTCGGTGCTGAAGAAGTGAACCAACAGCAGCAGGGCTTCAAAAGAGACGCAGACGAGTACAAGCCAATAGCCAATATCACCCGAATCTTGCGGCGCGTCCTCCCCACCCATGCCAAAATCGCCGACGATGCCAAGGAAGCTATCCAGGAATGCGTCTCCGAGTTCATCAGCTTTATCACCGCTGAGGCAAACCGGCGGTGCCGCCACGACTACAGGACAACAGTCAAACCGGAGGACGTGCTGGCAGCAATGGCCTCTCTTGGTTTCGACGACTATTTGGAGTCGCTCACAGTTTTCCTCAACAACCACCGCATGCAGCAGGACCTCGAGCGTGGCTCCAGGGATCAATTATCGCAGTTTGTTAGGCGAGACTGTGGCGTCGGAGTTGGCTTCCTTCACCAGCAACCGCAAGGTGCTCCCAACAATGGGGTATTATGTCCCCTTACCTCCACCTGTTGCTGCACGAGGAATGGTGCTATAATTTTTGAATTATTTCTTTGAGATTAAATTTGGCGTTGAAAGTGGTCACAAATTATTTTATTAAAAAAAATTTAAATAATCTAACGAAACTCAATTATTTTATTGGAGTTTGAAACGTCAAAAAAAAACTCATTAGAAGGCAAGATAAGCCAAGATAAGGCAAGATAAGCCATGATTATATAATTTTCGCGGGTCGACCGGACAATTTATTAAGGATACCAAACGTCAAATTAAATCCAACTATTTAGTTTTTTTTTTTTTTGATTGAAGATGTAAATATATAAATCAAAAAAAGTCGTAGAGAATTACAACGGGCATACCCGAGGGAATTGAAGCACTAACGGATGGCTACAAGCCATCAAAAAGCGTAAGAACGTAAAGAAAACATCAAGTTCGTAAAACAGTAAAAGTATCGGTTGGGGGTAGGCCCCAAGCCCTAGTTTGCGTCGGTTTGGCCTATCATGAATCGGCCTCCACTGCTGGTCGTCAATTCCGGATGCTGCATAAACATAGCTGAGTAAACGTGGGTCTTGATCCTCGTAGTAATAGCGGTAGCCGTCGATTCCGTCATGTCAAATTTCGTCCTATTCCGAGCTGCCCAAATGTGGTACACAACACTCGCCAAAGCACATCTCCTCGCCTTGCTTCGGTAAGATTTGCCCTTGACATCCTTCACGAGCCACTTCAATGCTGCCCGTAGTGTAGTCGGTCGTTGGGAGATCCCCAACCAAACACGAATCCGGTCCCATACATCCCTCGAAATACTACATCGAAAAAAGAGGTGCTCACGGTCTTCGTTCCCCGCTCCGCACAAAACACAAGTCTTCTCCACCGTCGCGAACTTTGCCACATTTTCTAGGGTTTGCAACCGATCAAGGGCAGCTAACCATAGAATGAAAGAATGCTTGGGAGTCATCGAGTGGTCCCAAATCCGTAGGCCCCAAGGTGGCCCCCCAGTAGGGGCCCTAATCCAGTCATAGACTCGTCCAACCGTGATTCTCCCCATGCTCGAAAACTCCTCCATTCGAGCAAGAAGCAAAGGGATTGACCCCGCCTTGCCCACGATTTCATCCCGGACGCTACAGATATTTTTAAAATACGGGGGTGAAGTCGTCGACGGTTGCCAATCCCATACGGCCGTTCCTTTGAGATAAAACTCATTCACCCATTGGATCCATAGGGAGTCCTTTTTCAAGTGGATATCCCATAGGTCCTTCACTAGCAAGCAGCGGTTCCACGTGCGCAAACACCGAAGTCCCAGCCCCCGATCGGCCTTCGGCTTGCACAAGTGCTCCCACCCGACTTTAGGAGCACTAGTTCCCCACAAGAAATCCCGCGCCATATCCTCAATACGACCAATAACCGTAATCGGCACCGAAAAAATCGAAAGCCAATAGCAACACGTACCTTGCACCACCGCCTTCAAAATCTCCAACCGACCCGCATAAGATAACGTATGCCCCTTCCAAGCTCCGATGGCATGCTCGATTTTATCAAGCAGGGGTTGGTAATTCAGCACTCGCAGTTTAGACGCTGCAAGTGGAATGCCTAAGTATCGTAAAGGGAAGGTTCCGGTGGCAAATCCGAATTCCTCCACGATCGATGTACGTTCCGCCTCATGGACCCCGGCGAGAAAAATATTCGACTTCAAGTTATTCACTTGAAGCCCCGATGCACGGCCAAACTCGAGGACCGTAGTGGCAAGTGTACGTATGGATGCGTTATCTCCCCTCGAAAATAGCATCAAGTCGTCGGCGAAGATGAGATGCGTCAATTTGTGCACATGGCACATCGGATGGAAGTTGAGCTCTTGCTCCATTGCTCGTGTGTGCAGCAATCTCGATAGGTATTCCATGCATATAACGAAGAGATAAGGGGATAACGGATCCCCTTGACGAAGCCCTCTCATCCCCGGAAAAAACCCCTTCGTCACTCCGTTAACCGACACCGTGTAGGAGACCGATGTCACACATTCCATAAGCCATCGAACCATTAAGTCCGGGAACCCTAACTCCACCAACATCGCCCTCAAAAAGTCCCAATTTACGGAATCGTATGCTTTCCGTAAATCCATCTTAATCATGCACCGGGGCGAAATCCTCTTACGCTCATAGCCCCTCATGAGCTGCTCCACCATATGTATATTGTCCGTGATAGATCGTCCACTCACAAAGGCAGACTGAGCTCGATCTATGATAGAGGGCAACACCCTCTCAATACGCTTCGTAATTACCTTCGCGATCACCTTGTAAATTACGTTGCAGCAAGCGATAGGCCGAAAGTCACCAACCGTTTCGGCTTGGGCTGATTTTGGTATGAATACCAGTACCGTGGTATTCCATTGTTTTAGCAGCTCACCACTGCGGAAGAACTCCAAAGCTGCCTCGGTGAGGAGAGGTCCAACTGTCGTCCACGCAGCCTTGAAAAATAGAGCCGTGTACCCATCCGGTCCCGGCGCCTTATCGTCAGCGATATCAAAAAGTGCTTCCCGAATCTCCTCCCCCGTCACCGGTTGGGTCATCCCATCACGGTCCTCATCTCTCAATTTCGGCCCCGTGGCCATAACGTGATAATCAACCGGTTCGCCTATAGTGCGAGTGCCCAAGAAATTTCGGTAGAATGTCTCAAATTCGCCAAGTACCTCGTCTCGGGATGTTGTGAACGTGCCGTCCTCCTTGCGAAGTGCTGTAATATTGTTGCGTTTAGCATTTCGCTTTGCCATCCCATGAAAAAATTTCGTCGTTCTATCCGAGTCTCGTAAGTGGTGCAACTTCGCCTTTTGGTAGAAAAAACTCTTCTCTGCTTTCGCCAAGAACCGATATGTCTCCACCTTTGCCATCATTTCCCCACATAGTTGTTGATTATGGGGGTCATTATGGTAGATTTGCTGAATTTCCTCAAGCTCCCCTCCCACACGCTTCACCCGTTCAGATATGTGCCCGAACTCTCGCCTGTTGAACCGTTTAAGAGGGTGCTTTAGGGCCTTGAGGTTCTTGCACACGGCCCACTGACGGCTGCCCCGGTAGTTCGTCGTCCATATCTCCTTAACTTCCCGTTGAAAATCGTCGTGCTGGGTCCACATGTTGAAAAAACGAAAAGGCCGAGAAGCCGGGGGTTCGGTCCCACCTAATCGCACAATCACCGGAGAGTGGTCCGACACGCCCCCGAACGGCAGGAAGAGTGCCGAACTAGCTTCAAACTCATCACGCCACATTTGATTTACAAGCGCACGGTCAAGTTTGCTCCACACCGTATGGTTCGTCCACGTATATTGAAATCCGGTCGAAGGTAGGTCCTCAAGTCCACTTCGACGGAAGCACGTCTGTATATCGTTCAACAAATAGGGGGTCATCAAGTTACCGCCCGATTTCTCCTCCGGCTTGAGCACCACGTTGAAATCACCCAAGCATAGCCACGGATCAGTGATGTTCACCCCAAAATCCTCTAACTCTTGCCACAACGGTCGTCGGGTGACCGGTGTGAAAAGCCCGTACACAAAGCTCACGTAAAAAAGTCGTTGGGTCACCATACACGTTACCTTGCAATGGATCACCTGCGACGTCATACCAAGAACTTCCACCCGAGCCACATCCGGGTTCCAAATGATAAGGATCTGGCCTGCCGTGTGGAGGTGGAAATTATCGGCCTTCATCCAATGCCGGAACCGCCGTTCCATAATCGAGTTCAGCGTTCCCGGGTCCCAAATCTTCGTCTCCAATAAGCCACAAACCGAGAGTTTGTGCTTACCAATGAGGTCCCCGACCTCCTTCTGCGTGAGAGAGTTTAGCAACCCTCTCACGTTCCAACAACCCACAATCATTTCGTCTTTGGGGGTTTCTGGCCCCCCCGCGGCTCTGCATCCTCGCTCTCAACCCGAACAAACTTCGACTCAACTTCCTCCTCTAAATCCACGTCTTTTGGTAGCAGAATTGCAGTCGGTGGGAGGTTCTTCTTTTTGATAGTGAATTTCGACTTAGGGGTTGTACCCTGGGATTTTGGGGAGTGTAGGGCATTAAAATCCACCAAGGATCCCCGGTCATCGTCATCCGCAGCATAGCACTCAGTCGAGCCATCCTCCGATTCATCATCCTCAGCACTCACGATCACCACAGCACCCACGGCTTTGTCGCCCGTTTCAAGCTCCGGATCCTCCGCAAGTACCGTCCGTTTACCAGCCCAAACCGTAGTTACCGGTAGATCTTGTGCAGCACTCACCACCGGTTTCGGTTTGCGGCTACGTCCACGCTTCACCACCGCCTCTACTCGACATTGATCAGTTTTATGCGTAAGAGTCTGGCATTTCGAGCAAAACACCGGTTCATAACTATACTCGATTGGGGCCTCATAGCTTTTCCCTTTCGCATTGATCAACGTGAGAGAACGTCGTAACGGTTTCGATGCGTCCACCTCCACTTGCAGCCGAGCGAAACCTAGCCTCCCCATCTCACTCGTAACCTTGTCCATTTGTACCGGTTTTCCTATCTTCTGAGCGATCTTACTCAACGCCTTTTTGTTGTAGAGCTCCGCTGAAATGTTGCGTATGATCACCCAAACCGGTACAAACATCATGTCGTTGATGTCAAAGTTGAAGAATTCCGGCATGGAGCGAATGTAGAGAGTCGCCAGTCCATGTTCGAATTTCCCCAACTCCACCACCTTCATCCGGTCTTGGTCCGTTGTGAATTTGAACACAATCCACCCCGTGGGATGGATCTGAAACTTCACCGGGACCTCCCATTGAGCCTTGATCGCGCGTATGGCCTCAACACCGGGGAATTTCCCCGGAAAATACGCCACGGCCAAGAACACGCCCTTCGTGCCCCAATCTGTTTCGTCGTCTTCGTCGAATTTTAGGACATTCGAGTCGTCCAATCCGGTAACCGAATCCAGTGCAAGATCCTCCGGTGGTGGTGGCCGTCCTTTGAAGAATTGAGCCCAATTCACACGTTCGCCATCACCGGAATGCAGTCCCTTCGTAGATCCACGAATTTCACCCGCCGTTGATGTCTCGGCATGTGGAA